CCAAGACAGTCTTCAACCTCACACTCTTCTTAAGCACCTCAGGCGATGAGTCTGGTGCTTTTGCCCTTCCGGTTGCATAGGAGAGGATAGGCTCATCCACTTCCTCCTCTGATTCACTGCTCTCGTAGTCAACCAGGGACCAACCATCCGTCCGAAAGGTCCAGTTGACCAGAGTCCAATTCACCTTATGGAGCCGAGAGCCACGTGGTTCCTCCTCACCAGAGCGTCTGCCAGTAGGTGAGTTCTCCACCGAATCGGAGTAGTGGACACTGCTGCGACCTCCTGCTGTACCACTTGTGCCAGCCTGGCGTGGTGGATCCTTTCCATTGCGGACATTAGGGCATTCCGGATCGCCGTGCCAGTGCCCAAATTGCTTGCAACTGGCACACTTGCTCTTCTTCTTGCGATCATCAAGTGGCCGATCCTTGCCCTTCCCACGCCCTTTGCTCGAGCCTGAGCGCTTGGGCTGGTGGTATCCCCGGCTCTTGCGGGTGTCCGCTGCCTTCTGTTTGGCCTTCCAGCCGGCCGCGTAGGCATCCTTCAAGTCCTCCACGTCAGCGAACTCCTCTTCTTCGTCGTCGTAGTGGACATCGTCATAGATCTCGCCATCCTCATCCTCATCACCTTCTATCCAGCGCGAATTCATCATAATCCGGGCGCCGGCCACGAAGCCCGTGCCCTGCCCGGAGGGCCTTCGGTGGTAACTGAAGGTTATAGACGGGCGCGCCCCCTGCCGCCGACCCTTGCCACGAAAAACGGGCGGACCGCCGGGTCACTGATGCCCCTGTAATTTACAGTGTTTCGTGTGCGTGAGGTATTAAAAACACTGTGTTTTACAGGGTATATTGCGCATATCGAAGTACGACGCGGCGAAGATGGAAAAATGCAAAAACGCTGTGTTTTTCAAGGGTGGTGTCGGTAATGCGCGCCGGGCGGAGAGGCGTAATCGACAGTTTGTGGGTAGAGGCCTTCCAGACGATTTCAATTGCCTGACATATCCTCAACATAGGCCTAAGATAGCCAACATATCCCCAACATATGCCCAACATAGCCTCCAAGATGGCTCAACATAGGGCCAACATAGGCCAACATGGGGCCAACATACGCCAACATAGGCCCAACCCAGGCCAACATAGGCCTGACGTAGGCCAGCGTAGGCCCAACATAGGCTCAACATGGGCTACCTGTGGACAAAACATAGGTCAATTCATAGACCACATGGGCCCAACTTGCCAAGATGCGCACCAGATAGCTTAACTTGTGCCCCACACCCCGGCCCCCGTCTCCAACACCGAGCAGTTTCCCACCTTGCCCCCACCCAGGGCCCTGTACGCCCCCGATAGCTCCACGTGCACTGACCCAGCCCCACACAGACCCTAGTGCGCCGGCGCCCGGCTGTTAGGCGTAAGCATTTAAATCATCCTCGGCAGGCTCGCCGGCGTCATTGGGCTCATCTCCATCTGCCAGGTGGGTGTGATGGCTTGACCTGTAAGGCTTGCGGTCGCTCCGCCGCGGGTGGCTCTGCCACAGCTTCTTGCGCCGCAAGGGTGCCCGTCCTTGCTCATCCAACAGCCTGTTGGATCCTGAGCGATTATGGGGCGAGGTCTTCTTCTCATCCACATGGATGTTGGAACAGCGACAGCGCAATGACCTTCTCGATGCGACTGCTGTTGTACTGGTTTCCGCTGGAGAAGAAGATATCCATCCGCTCCTTCCTCGTGAGACCTGCTCTCACTAGGAGCCGCTGTGCAAAGCTCTTGTCGCTCAGAGTCGTTTCGGCATCCTCCTTCAGATACTCGCCTCTGAGCCGCTTGAGGATCGAGATATATCGAGATGTATGCAGCGATGGACTGGCCTGGTGCCCTTCTGCAATTGAGGTAAGCGTCCTGCTTCTCCTCAAATCTCTCATCCGCACGAGCTCCGAAGCTTTCCTCCAAGAGCTTAACCATGCGGCCTCGGCCACCTGGCTCCTGCATCTCATTGACCTCAAGCTGGTTGAGGATCTGGCGTGGCTCGCCTTGGCAACTTAAATAGATCAACATCGCCATCTCGCTGTCCTCCAACTTGTACAGGGCTCGCTGAGCCTCAATGATCCGCTTCCGCTTGGTTTGCTCTTGTCACCAGGCCTGCGGCTGATCTGGCCTTCCAGCAGCTCACGGATCTCTGAGGTCCTGGCAGTCTCAAGCGACCCCGCCTCGGACGATGCAGCATCATCATCCCGCCTGTCTCGCCTTGGCCTTTCCTTGGCCTTTGCCTTTGGGTCTGAGGTCACATTGGACTCCTCAGCCTGTTCCTCAGCGGCTGCTGATGGTCCGGACTCGCTCTCCTCGTCGTAGTCCTCATAGTAAGAGTCACCGCTTGGTGGCGGACCAGGGTTGGTCTTTGGCCTGAGCTCCTGAGCCTTCGGCGCTGCCTTTGGCTCGGCTTTGGACTTCTTTGCTGGTGGGATGGTCCGGCTCCTTTGGCTTGCGCCCATCAGGCTTGGAGGCTGCTCCCTCCGGCTTGCTTGTCTGGCCTGATGTCTCCTTTGGGACGCTCCGGAGGTCCGGTCCTCGTCTGACCTGTCAATTGGTGGAGTAGGCGGACACAGTAGGACCCGCCTTTGATGTGTCCTGAGCATACCACCTGCAGGATACTGCGATGGCTGAGCCGTCGACTGTCCCTTAGCGTGCGCCAGCCAGTACGCCGGCTGTTTGCATCTGCAGGTGCTGATAGTATGCGCCGCTTGCTCTCTCATGGCCGCTGTGAGCGCTGTGGTCATCATCTCCTGGAGGTCTCTCTTATTGCGCTCGCGGGTGGTACTTCGACTGCCCCATGCAGCGGCGCTGGCTTGAGCCGCGGCTCTTGCCACCCTTCTTTCCTTTCTTACCTTTACCTTTGACAGGCTCGCGACCTCGCGATCCTTCCTCCCGTGGCGGCTGACCCTTCCAGCCTTGGGCCTTGTTGCCGCGACCCTTGCCACCTTTGCTCCAACCTCGGCCTCTGCCAGCGGGCACCGAGGTCACTGAGGGGGCTCGGCCCCGCAGAGCGCTCCCTCGCCGATCGCGGTCGGCTGCCCGATCTTGGTCGGGGCGAGTCTCGCTGGACTCATCGTCTCCCCAGCCAGGGACGGGTAGCTTTGGCCCCCCAAATCTTTGGGGGGAACACGGGTGGACTTATGATGTAAATGTACCATGTCATGCTACCACCTCATGCCACCTATGCTCAACACTCACAGCAACAACATGATGGAGATAAGGAGAACCGTCGTCGCTATAAAGGGATGTGGGTGCACTGTTTGTCCAGGTCGGCTAACCGTTGAACGTTGCAGAGAGTTACGCCGATAGTCAGGGAGGCTGTGGTCTCCCGATCAGCCTCTGGCGGCCCCTGCGTGTGAGTGATGTTTTGCAAAATCACGGTTTGAAGTGGCAAAAGCATAGCCTCTGTCCTCTGTAAGCAGAATTGCCAAGTGCCACCTGGCCCAATCTAAAAAGAGAATCTGCAAGGCAAGGCGGAGATCTAGTTGCCGGGGCCCCAATCCTGCAGAAGGCATCAAACACAGGGGAGGTGGTATAGTAGTATAGTAAGATTCTCATTTGGGAGGAGCACGGAGTCAAACTCAAGGATTAGAGTGGCCATTCTAAGTCGCAATGAACGCTTCCACAAGAAGAATGACGTCAACTTGCCCAAGGGGAGAGGTGGCCCCTACCAAAGCTGACACGATTCGCCCTAACCTTAGTAGCGATCCCTTCCTTAGTAGAAATGTCCTCAATAGATTGCTCGCATGCCAATTTTCACCATGGCAGCAAGGCAAATGGACAAACACAAAGGGAGGGACTCACACTTGCGCCCAAGACCTTCTGTCAGGCAGTGTTGGCGCAAACCAAATGAAAGGGTGGCTGTGGTGCTTACGTAATTTGCATCAGGCTGAGCGCTTGCAGCGTTTGATTTTCACACTTTTTTGGCTTTGCTTACTTTTGACATTTGCACTTTGTGGCCCAGGAGGTTGGTCCTAGTAGCCCCCTGAATGCCATGTCCAGGTCGCCTTCTATGAAGGGATAAAGTCGAGTTCCGCAACTGTTTGGTCGGATTCCGCAACTGGGATTCCGCAACTAGGATTCTGAAAGTAGGATTCCGCAACTAGGTTTCCGCAACTAGGATTCCGAAACTAGGATTCCGCAACTGTCAAGATTCCGCAACTAGGATTCTGCAACTGGGATTCCGCAAATGGCGTTCCGCAACTAGGATTCCACAACATTGTGGACTCCCTCACTAGGATTCCGCAACTTTGTGAATGATGAGGGGGTTGGCGTGATGTCGAGATCACACGATGGGACAAGGGGGGGTTGGGGGTTGGGTGGGGGGCTAATGACGTTGGTTTGGATGTGCTTCGAAGGTGATGTCACAGGCACACACGCTATCGCATGATGTGGAGATCACCAGTTACAAGTTTCAGAGGGCAAGTTGCAGAGCCTGACTTTCCAGTTTCAGAATACCAGTTGCAGAATCTGACTTTCCAGTTTCAGAATACAAGTTTCAGAATCCCAGTTTCAGAATCCTAGTTTCAGAACCCCAGTTTCAGAATCCCATTTTCAGAACCCCAGTTTCAGAATACCAGTTTGTTTCAGAACCCTAGTTTCAGAACCCCAGTTTCAGAACCCTAGTTTCAGAATCCGACCGATTAGTTACCGAATCCGGCTCTAACCTTCTATGAAGCCAGACATTTCGTTCCCCCAAAATACTTCTACCATGCTCAGTTCTTTCTCCTTGCAATGGGGCCTTGATTGTCCACCAACCAGTAAACTAGTGACCAGGGGTAGACCTGATGCCAGATATTCGTGTAGACTTTGCCATGCAAGCTTTGTACTCGTACAAGTGGTCATTAGACAAGGAATGGGCTCTAGTGCAAAAATGTTTGATTGCAGCCGGTCATGTTTTGCAAGGCCTTTTGTATGTCTTGGTGCGTTTTGATCTTCGCCTGTGACGTGGTGGGGCAGTGACAGGAAGTACAGCTTGCGCAGGAAATATGGGCAGTGCTGGACGTACTCATCATTTTGTCGGGCCTTGCGGAAGTTGTCCTAGATTCCGTTGGCATGGGGGCGGACAGTTGCGTGGATGCACAAATGCGTTTGGTTCTCCCACGTTTTCTGCAAATGATGACGGAGTAAAGAAGACATCCACCATCTCCATTGTGCTTTGCAAGGCTTTGGGCTGCTGCGGGTTCTGCGATTGGTTCGCATCATGAGGCAGTCTCAACCCGCATGGCCACATTGGCAGACTGCCAGAATCACATTATATCAGTGTGCCTGTACCCAATGACACAGGATGACATCAAAAGCATCCACACTAATATATAGTTCTACTATGTTCTACTAGATTTGAACCAGCAAATTTTGATTACACCCTGGCCTTTGCATTTCTCTTTGGTGCAGGCTTTTCCGGCTCTTTCGGAAATTTTCATTGCTGAAGGAATTTCGCAAGTGGCAGACTTAGATTCACGTGGGTAAGTGACAGGTAGGGCAGGCCCACCGGATTTGGAGCTGATCTTATCCACTTTCAACAACAGTATATAATATATTATTTATGATGTTTTATGTGCAACTGTTTCTTCCTGGTTTGTGACCGTCAATCCAGCTTGAGCCCGATTGAACTCAAAGTGCTGCAAGCTTGACGTCGAAGGACCACTTTTCCGGATATTTCAGGGCACCATGAATATCCCCTTGTTGAGTCTATGTTAGCGGATATCGCCAACTCGAGCCCAAGTTGAACCCAAACAGATCCAACATGCACCATGTTGGGGCCAACTTCAGCACCAAGCAGGCACCACTTGCCCCATGTTGGGCGCAAGTTTTATCCCCGCTTAGTGGCCCGTTTGGGCCCAACTTGGGCAAAGTTGACCTTAACATGGACCCAGGACCCAGCAAGCGGAACATGGTCCACGTACGTGTTCCATCGCTGCCAAGTTTGTGGCATGTCGGGTTCAATGGTGAATCGCTGAAACACTCCCACGCACCAGTCTTTGCAATCCTGGTGCGGGCGTGTATGTCGCGGAGCGACATTGATATGTTCCTGAAACAAGGTTGAAGTGTATTTTGGGACGGCGTGTTCCTCCCGATAAAGTGAGGAGATGTCTGTCAATTGATCTCAAAATCCGTTTCTTTTGTGTGAATCATGCCAGAAGCAGTTGTATCCATTTTTCCCTCCCAGGCTGCTTTTGATGATCGTGAGTTGCTTCAAGACACTCTTTTGGTCTTTCTTGTTTTGTGCCTTGGCTGGCAACAAGGCTTGCCGTTTTTTTACATCTTCTGGTCGCTTTCAAGATTTGTGGCCGACCAAAGTTGGAATCGGAGTTAAGTTAGACCGTCTAAGTTTATGCTCTCAAGCACACCGCTGAATTAGCTATGCTTGGCTTGTATGGTGTCTACTGTTGAGTTCAAAAGATTGCGCGGGCTTTGTGACTGCAAAGGTTTCATTTGCATGGCTGCATGGTCTATGTTGGCCGTCGAGATGCTTCATCCAATTATGGATGAACTAGAAGCAGAGTCTTGCCCACGCAAAGAGACAAAGAGCTCAGCATAACAACAGTAAAACTCCTGCCAGTTGACTGGATTGCAGTTAAAGAGTTGGATTGAAGGTGTTTGAATTGGTTGGCTGCATGGCAAGGAATGGCGTGACTGCACTTTCTGCGCTCGCTCCCTTAGTACCGCCCCTTTGTCTCAAATGTCTCTGTTGGGTGGTGTTCTTTGTTGAATTACTGAAGTTCAGCCCCTTTGCGATCACATACAGTATTTTTTGTAATGAAGGACTTTCTAGTCGATTCTAGTTAGTGGTTTTGGTCGTATGGCGACGGTCGTCGCGGTGGCGGTTTGGGGCTTGTCGTGATGATGGTGGCTCATTTGTGGGCCTTCCCTTCGGGATGAAAAATCGGAAACTTGTTGCTATCACCGGCATGATGTCTTTACAAAAGTGCTATAGCACCATTGCTTAGCAGGGTATTCAGTATTCATGAATACAGCTGCTGGTCATGGAGATTGGTGCTCTCCTACTTCAAGGCTAACGCACCGTGCATGAACTCGGAGACACCATAGTTGTTGAGGGTGTGCTGCGCATGTGTTTATGTTTGTGTGTGTTTAGGTGTCGTTTCGCGGATGACCACATTTTCCACCAAGGTGATGGATGCCAACCTGCTCCTTTTCAAGACAGTGGTTGCGCTGGACTCGTGGGGAAAAGTGGCTCTTCCTGTGATTCAGCACACCCCTTCCGCCGCCATTATTTTTTGTGGCCGCTTGGATGCAAACTTTATATAGAGATGTGCCACAAACGAGATCAATATAACTCTTGCATGTTGTAGTAATTAGTGCGAGTTCTTTGATTCCGACATGCCAAAGATATCAGTATCCTCGGACCACCAGAATCCATGAAAGCAATTTAGCAAGCCATGGGATTAAATACAGTAGTTAGACAACGTATCCTTTCTCACATGGTATTGTTTTTGTTTGTGTCCATGGCATGAACAACTCCCAGGATGTTCACACATCCTTTTTCGGCATACTGTAGGTATCAAAAAATACGAGCATCACAAAAAAAAGATGATCAAAAACAAAATAAAAAGCGAATCAAAAACACGATATTCCTTGATAGGCCTCTTCTGCTGCTCTCCTGGCCCTGTGGTCTGCGGGTCCTCTGGTAATAAGGTCCCTTGGTCCCTTGGTCCTCTGGTCCACTGGTCCTTTGGTCCCCCTGGTCCCTTGGTCCTTTGGTCCACTGGTCCCCTAGTCCTCCGGTCTCCTGGTCCTCTGGTCCTGTGGTCCGCTGGTCCCCTGGTATCCTGGTCCTTCTGTCTCCTGCTCCGCTGGTCTCTTGCTCTCCTACTCCGCTCGTCTTTCGGTCTCCTGGTCCCCTGCTTGCGCAAATAGAGGCTTGATTGCTTTCTACTAGAGGCAGCTCCCTGGGAGGAAAGTAGGTACCCAATGATGGTAGCCGTCCAGTCATTGAGTAGCCCTACTCGAAAAATGGTTCACCAGTAGAAATAGCTCCCTACTAGGAAGGAACTCCTAGGGAGGTACGCTCTCCTAGTCCCCTACTTCTTCCATCTTCTTCCCTTGGTCTCCTAATCCTGCTACTGCTACTGCTACCGCTACTACTACTACTACTACTACTCCTACTACTACTACTACTACTACTACTACTACTACTACTACTCTTATTACTACTACTACTACTACCCCTACCATCCTCAGTGGGCTAGAATATTTTTCTTGATTCCCTTTCTATTTTTTTTATTGATCCCCGTTGATTATTTTTTAAATTCTATTTGTATTTTTATGTTGATCCCTTACCACTTTTTCGAAGCTTGATTTGCTTTGCGCTGTGCTACAAAACGGCAGTGAAACATGCGGAGGGTAGACACAAGGAAACGTGTCACCGTAAAGTAATATCCTGCGGCTCAGGCTCGCAGCTGACGATTGTGTTCGGCATTCTGAACTTGATTGTCGCAGTTGTCGTGGATCAATTTGCTGAGCAGCGGACAAAGGACGTGACCAACATGGCAAATGAGTCTTGGTTGCATTAGCTGTCGCTAGCTGGCTTTTGAATTTGTGTGAAGTGGCTGCGCATGAACGGTATCGTCAGATAATAAACTAGTTCCTGGGTTTGCAACACCTTGGTGGCTCACCCTTGGGTTGTGACTTCCCCCGTGCTGCGGATGCTGCTGAATTCCACCCACCCAGCGCCAGCCATTGCATGCTTGTTGAATCTACATGGTAGTTGATCGAAAGGTCGACATAAGGCCTATGCCACTGAGAGCCTCTTCAAGTCGTCCGCAAAAGTTTTTTCTCGAGCTCGCGAAAGTTAACTTTTTCCGGGCGAAAGATCTGCGAAAGAGTCTATTGCATTTTATATTGTATACATGAAGAGACGATACCATCATCAGTGATTTGCAACAGTGCTGTGCGAGCTACAACAAGAGCAACTACTACTACTACTACTACCACAACAACAACAACAACTACTACTACTACTCCTCCTCCTCCTGCTACTGCTGCTGCTGCCACTGCCACTACCACTACCACTGCCTACTACTCCTCCTCCTGCTGCTACTGGTTGTTTCGCTTTGCGCCTAGAAACCCACCAATGATGCGACATTTTTTGGCGAAAGATTCGCGAAAATTCCGCGAAAGCATAGGCGAATGTGAAGGTTTGTTTTCTGGACCCCTGCCCAAGCCAAGCAGCGACAGACCTAGCAAGACATGAGCGCAACAACCGTTGATAGCTCTTCCAGCTCATCCTCCACCAGTTCTGCTGATTCACCCAGTGGTGGTGATTGAGAGTTCTCGCCATCTGCCTTGTAACACCTCAACCTCGTCTGCAGCTCCAAAGTGGTGCTTGATGGAAGTGCTTAGGCTGCTATGTAGAACCACTAAACCAAGAAGATTTCTAGAGGATATACACCCCGCGAAGTTAAGCATGGAGTTCGCGAAAGATTCGCGAACGTTAATTTTTTCGCGAAGAATTGCCTTCCAGCAAGATGGAATTTTGATCAACCACCACATGTGCCTTTGCCTCAGTCTCAGCTGGCTCCAATTCGAGCCGCATCCCATTTTGCAGAAAGGGATGCCACAATTTTTATGGTTCCATTTGTGCCACCAGTTGGCAACCGTGTGTGTGCTTGGAGCCTGGGCGCTGGTGCCGCTGGAGGGTGCTGCTCCAGAGCGCTGCGAGGTTTTTGTAGCCGGGTGGGTGGTGGTGCCGGAGGGTGCCACTGCCCAGTGAGCAGTGGCTGGCTTAGTTTTGCTATCTGGGGTCTATGCGGGCTTAGTGGCGTAATCTTATAAAGTTATTTTGGGGCTGACACTTCGCCGCTATACAGAGCAGTTTGGGTGTCCTTGGGGAGGAAGGGCAATGTTGCGGGATCAATGCAGCTTGGCTGACCTTCTAGAGGGAACATTGAATATGTTCAGTTTTCGTGGCGGACGCCGGATAGTGTCGAGGGGGAGGCCGCAGCCAAAAAAGACAAGATACCAAAACGTTCCCCCCAGAAAAAAGATTGGCAGCCTCAAGAAGTTCCCAGGGTACTAGTTTTTTTTGCACCCTGCAGGGTTTTTTTGAGCTGTTTCCGGGGTATAGGGTTTCAAATCGCACCGTTTGGTTGGACACCTTTAACTTTGTCGGGTTTCTTTGTTGACCTGTTTGGGTCGTTTTTTCGTCGGCAAGTTTCTTTAGGCACCTGTGTGGGGGTTCTTTTGGACCCGTTTGGGTGCTTGCCTGCAAATGGGAAGCCCTTAGGTCTTCACTGGGACGTTTTCTTAACATCACTTAGCTGGGTCTTGTCGTTCACGGTGGCGAAACTTCCACTTGCGGCCTATGCGTCCCTGTGAAAAGTCTATCCACTTGCGGTGTCGCTGTTTGTGTTTTTTTTTGACCTGTCGACACGTTTCGGGTTGCAGGCGGGTTTGCGAAAGGCCGTGACAGGGCTGTTTGGGAACCTCTGTGGGGTTTCTTTTTGACCTGTTTGGGCGCTTGCCTGCGACCGGGGGGGCCCTGAGGCCGGTGTCCGGCAGACGGCAACAATGTCACTGAAGAGCTTTGCAGCCCAAAACATGTCTAAAAAGAACCTTGGGAGGCACGGCCCCCAAATCCACCAGGTCCGTTTGAAACCCTTGCGCCCCAAACGGTGCAAAGAACCTTGGGAGGCACAGCCCCCAAGTCGACCAGGTCCGCTTGAAACCCTTGCGCCCCAAATCATGTCAATAAAGAACGTTGGGAGGCACAGCCACCAAATCGACCAGGTCCGTTTGAAACCCTTGCGCCCCAAGCCATGTCAAAAATGAACCTTGGGAGGCACAGCCCCCAAATCGACCCCCTTGCACCCCAAACCATATAAAGAACCTTGGGAGGCATTTCCCCCAAATCGACCAGGTCCGTTTGAAACCCTTGCGCCCCAAACCATGTCAATAAAGGGAACAATGAAGGGTCAGCTTGAGAAGACATGACACATATTTCTTATATGTTGGTGCAATGCAGCATGGCGGAAATCTGTGGCAGCGCTGCATAGTTCAAGAAATGAAAAAACCAACACCCAATGTTCTCTTCATGTGATCCCCACCTTGAGTTGGGAGAAGGCAGGGCACATGTATAGACATGTGTTGACAGACTATCCTGACAAACGCACAAGGGCGACAAACGGACAAAACAACAAATTGAACACAACAATGCACCACTTTCAAAATACATGGCACATCTCAGATTCAGGGAGGGCAGCAGCAAGCAATAAAAGCGAGAGCAACAAAACAACAGAACGTAAAAACATAAAAAAACACCAAGGCAACAACAAAAAACAAAAGACATGCACATACAAAAAACAAACACCAAACACAAAAACAACAAACGCAAACACAACAAAAAATCAAACAAAAGACGAACACATAGAATAACTCCCTAGATGCGCGCCCATTCTTTTTGTTTGCGTTACTGCCACTAAACAAGTCATCCAGTCAGGCCAAAGTTTTTGCAGTCAGACACCCCAACATCCGTGCATTTGAACAGTGAACAGTTTCATGATCAGCGTTGTCCAGCAGTTTGGTGTGTCTACAGCTATTTGCCTGACAAATGGGTTCACACTTCAGAATGTTTGACCGACGTTCTTTGAGGACTTGGAACAGGAAAATGATGAAGAATTGCGTAGACTGGACAAGATGTTTCAACTCATTGATGGAGATGGCAACTAAGCAAGTGAAGGGCAGCTGAGAATATTTGAGAGCGATGTCCTATGTCCTATGATGTTGTTACAAGCCTGCCCTAATAGAGACTAAGGTGATGGAGAATTAACCTTGGTCGAACTTCTGGAGGGAGCCACCAAAAGCAAAGAATTTCAGAACCGCCTCAGGGTGATGGACATCGATCAGGAAGGGTGCTGCATCTGGGAACTAAAGTTTGAGCGGGCAAGTTGGAACCTGCTTGAGACTAACGGGAAAGGAACCATTATATATATACCACAAGGTTGGCATCTCATGAGTGGCAGGCGGATTTGTTTCAGCTCTTTTCCATGTTGGACGCGGATGGTGGGGGCACCATAGACCCGGAAGAGTTCAAGCAAACCCTTGCCCGATGCTTGGCTGGAATAGATATCGAGCCGAATACATGGAACATGTTAAATGCAAGCTGATTGATTACTATTCAGGAACATGCTTCGAGTGTTTTCTCATCGAGGATGGAACATGGACGCAAAGACATCAAATCGTTTCATTCGGTATGCGCTGCAGCAACTCATGAAAGATCACGCCAATGCTGCGCAGAGACTGTGTGTGATGGAGGAGCGCCTGTCAGCGGAACAACCCTTAGCTCAGCTTATAACGACGCGATTGTTGCCTCAATTGTTTGTGGTCAGACAGCTGGTAACTAACGAGTCAGTCCAATGAGCCAGCCTGGTTCAGCCTGGCTCCTTGCATGATTGACAGGGGCTTGCTGAGGTTGCAGCCAGTTTCGTCATTCACCCCCTGTCAACAACCCGCTTTGGGAGAGTTCTGAGGCTCTATACCGTGAGCAGGCTGCAGTGCGGAAGGAAGAGCGACGAAAGGGAAAGCTGCTCAGAGGCGAGCCCTTCAGCGACTTGTCACAGATGCACTGCGCATCCTAGCAGCAGACTTGTCATTGATGCAGCTGCTGGCACAATTTCCAACATTGGTAGGACTGCGCCTTGCTCAGCGTTTCCGAGACCTCAGAGCGTGGCTTGGAACGCAGATGCGGCTTATTGAACGACCATTTCCACCCCGGAGCCAAGCAAGTGAGATTGAGCATTTGCGGGAGTCAACAGGCTGAGCTTTGCGGAGTTTTGGGATGGGGTGGGCCAACACGGCGTTTTGTTAAGCCAGGGAATGCATCAGAGTAGTGAGCATTCGCCCGTGCTTGATGCATAGGGGAGGGAGGTGAGTCAAGACATAGCGACGGTTCCAAGTCTCTCCCAGCTAAGCCAGTTTCTTGATATTCTGTTTGTCATTGTCCACGTCATGTTTTGGGCCTTGCAGCAACTCTCTCTTTTTTAAAATAATGTATATATATATATATAGCTGAAGTGAGAGAAGTGTTCCTTTTGTTTTGAAGTGTGCTTGCTCCAGGAAGGGCAGCTCGCCCCTTTCCAATCCATTCCTGTCTTGCACTTTGTCCAAGGCTCCCAGCACACAAACGATCCTCAAAAGAGGTGCAAATCAATGTAACTTGGACAAACACTTGTCACACGAGGTCTATCGCCATCAAAGGCAGAGATGTTAAAGTGATGAGTCAAGATGAATATTCTTGAAACAAAACCCGCGTTGAGATTGAGATTTTGTGTCCAAACCTTGCACATGCACATGCACACACACGCACACAGTTGGAACATTCTATATACACTGAGCTGCAGCTAGACTCTAGACTCATGCGTGAGAGAGAGAGAGAGAATTCAGGAGACAGATCGCAAGTGTGATGGGGCAGACACTATGATAGCCATAGTCTGAGATTATAGAACGATCATTAATTTTGCATCCCTTTCCCTTTGTCAGGACTTCACCGTCTTGCATGGTGACAACTTCGGCCCAAAATGTTGGAAGCCTTCGCGGCCCAATCGCTTTATGTTCGAAGCCTTCGCCTTGGAGATTCAAAGGCTGCGGGAACACCGAAGCTGGAGGTCGAATCAAAGGAGCTGCAACTGATTCTTCCTTCTTGGTTTGAGCATTCAAGAAGGGATTTTGTCATCAGCAACTGGACCAGATGCTGGAGCCAAGGCCTTGCAGCCATCAGTTCCATCCATATGAGAAGATGACTCTATGCAGCAGCTGGTGCGTTCTTTTTCTTCTTCCTCAGCTGCAAAGCAGCTGCTAGATGTGGATTTCCAATACTTGCCCTAAGGGCTCAAGTTCATAATATTTTCACGCCCTTGCCGGATGCCCATGTTCCGCAACATCTTCCAGACGGCAGGTTTGCAAAGAGAAGTTGCTGGGTTGTGGTGGATGCATTTATTGAGGCATTCAAAGGTATACCAGTATACCTGGTATGGGGTATTTGTATACATTCGCGGATTCATTCATTGTCCGATCCAAACACAGGTGCCAGCAAGTGAATGTTCAGTACCGACGTTGACATCTCATTTTCCACAGGGCTTGATCAACATTATTTGAGTTGTGGACGTCCTTCTTTTGAAGGCCTTATTAAATCGACCGCTGCCTTTTTTCCATCTCTTCTTTGGCCTGGTTGGCTAAGGCTAAGGACAGGTGCCACCCAATGGATTCTACACTCATAGTTCGTCTGAGCAACTTTGCTAGGGGTTCTCAAAGATCGTTTTACCATTCAGCCAGAGCTGGCCAGTCACTTTTTGTGTCAGGCGCGGGCGAAGTGGTAGCCGGGACCTTTGCACTGGCTAGAGGTCGTTTTGATGATACATGGGCAAGAAAATGCCAGACTTAGGGTTGAACATCGCGCGACACCCTGTAGGTTCTGGAAAGGTTCTTGTGACTTGACGTGATTTAGCAACTCAATCTCATTCAATCATGTAGTTTGTCTAGTTCTTCCATTTGACCGTGCCGTTGAGCTTCCAGCCATTCTGTCCTCTTCATGCGCAGCTACCACCTTCGCTTGCTCGAGATTCTCCTGTGTCCTTAGATCGATTCAAGATATTCAAGTCTGTTTGCCTGTGCATGTTTTTTCTTTTTGCTAGTGGCTTGTTCTGGTTGTGCACACCGCTCTTTTAGTGCAAGTAAGCTGCGCAGCTTTCCTGAGTGCCAGATTACACTTTGACTCACTAACATGGAAATGGAAAATGGCCCCTTGGAAGACTAGTTTCCTTTACAAACAGGTAATTCCACACCAAAATGGTCCAGACAGCCGGACAGCTGCCAAACGTCGCTTTCTGATGCCGGCAGAAATTCTGCAACAACTGAGCTTCTCTGTCGCGCTCCCCCATCGGCTGGGGTTGTCAAATTTATGTCATGGATGCAATATCTCTGTGCTGGCTCCATGCTTTGATGCCAGCAGGTCGCGCACGGAGAAGAAACCAAGATTGATTGGGCTGTAAGGAGCTGGAACAACTTCTGGAAGGCAACAGGGCCTTCTCAGATATGACGTGATATGACAGAAGGTTTTGTGGTAGAAATGCATACTTTGTTTCCAGCTTAGGAGCGGGATTCTGCCCCATGACCTGATTTTGGGATTTGTCAAAATGACTTTAGTGTTTGGGGGGGGGGCCTGTGTGTTTCCTTTTTCCTAGAACTAACCTCTGTATGGTCTCACACTTTATGTACATACATGACTGATACATTTGGCTCAAGACTGAGAAAAGCCGCTTGCTTTCGCAACCGACTGCATTCGACTCGTGTCCGTCTCAAGACCGTGTTCTTTTCAAGGGAAATCCACTGCATTGCACTTCGTGTCAATAGTGGTAGCGGAGCCTGCTCGTGATGTCTACGTCAGGCGATGATGCTACGGACCTTCCCTGGTCGAGTGTAAGTCCTAGTGCCATGGCAGCCATTCCCGCATTTGCAACACGTCAGTCCCACGAGGAGTCGGTGTCCTTGCATATGAACGCTAAGCTGCCGCCTGTCTTTGACGGACGAGTAAGTTGGTTTAGGTACGAGGAGACAGTCGATGACTGGTTGTCGATAACTAGCATTGATAAGCCCGAACGTCACGGACCACTACTTAAGTCCAGGTTAACTGCTGATGCCACAATGTATCGAGAGCTTCTAGATAATGATCGTCTCAAGGGTCCTGAGAATGGAGTTAACTACTTCCTGCAGACCTTAAGACCGTATTTCGTGAAGGGATCTCAGAACGTTTTCCTCTATCGTGCTTTGAATTTCTTCAACCACCGTAGAGGCAATCAAGAATTCGTGACACTCATCAGCAAGTTCGAGATTCTCTTACGCCGGCTTCGTGCCTCATGGATGGACACCATGCCCAAGGTAGAATTAACAGCAGAATTCCATGAACAACTTGCTTGTATATACTCAATGGTTAGTTGATTGCAATGCCGTGACAGCCTCAGGCAGAGCGCCTCCTGACCGACCGCCTGAAGCCGATTGGACTGATAGGACACATCAGAGCCAGGATATCTTAGACAAGTGGATCTGTCAGGACCGACATATGATCTTGTTTCCATTTACAAGCAATTTCATAGCCCTGTTCTTCTTTCATCCAATCTGAGCTTTCAGATGGCCAACGTGAACGGTTAACTAGTGAACTGCAGAGCAAGGGAATTCTGATACACCTGTGCGACCTAGAGACTCTTAAGCAGAAATACCACGACCTCTTCATAGTGTCTAGAACGGCAATTCAAGATCCTAACATTCGCCCGCACAACAAGCAGCGTTCGTTTTGGATCGTAGACCAAGGAGAATACGAAGGAGAGGAAGGTTTCTGGGTCGAGGATGAAGAAAACGGAGAAGAAGGTTTTATGCCCTTAGATGACGAAGAAGCATTTTGGGCCGTTGATGAACATGAATGTTTTGCTCTCCGTACGGTCCCAGGTACTTAGGCGTCGTAAGGGCGGTGGACAAGGCCGAGGCAAGGGTAAGGGAAGAAGAAGAGGAGCATTTAGGTCCTATACTGGATCCCAAAACCGTAAGAGCGGCTGCAAGGCCAATATGGCCGAAGAAGAATATGAACCAGATCAGTCTTACTTGGGTTAAGGGCAAAGGAATATCTAAAGGAAAGGAAGGAGGAAAATACAAGTCCAAAGGTAAATTCAAGTTTGGTAGTAAGGATGGTTCAAAAGGAAAGGACGGCAAGGGTAAGTCCAAGACTTTCCAAACATCCGATGATCAAGGCACCTCGAGCTCCAAGCCGACCTCGCGTACAGCCAGAGAGCCTCAACACCCTTCCACGGATGACTGGTCCTGGTCCGATGATGCATACTGGATGTGGGACACCTGGTACGGTAATATGAAAGTTGGTATCTTACCGTAGATGCCACCAGTTCAGCAACCAAGGGATGGTTTTAATATTGCGCAGCCGTACGCAATGGCCTCAGCTGTACCAAGGACATTTCGCAAGTTCTCGAGCCTGCCAAGTACCCTACTCATGTCATCCTCGACAATGGATGTACTAAGAGCATGGGTTCATGGTATGCCGTTGAACGTTTTGTCCATGCAGTTCGTGAGAGCGGTAATCCGAACATTACCTGTTGGTATGAAACCGGTGATACCACCTTCACACATTTGCTATGTTTCTTGCTACATAAAGACGCTACGGAGCGCTTGTCTAACTGCCGGCTTTGCTCCGTGCTGAAAAATATTACTGACAGCCGACCGCTGGTGACCGACATTGTTTAAAAACCGTTTTGAATGCGCGCATTGTTTTGTGCCTTGTTGCTGTGAGGGCTTGCCTACGGCGCGTGTGCACTTGAAACGATATAATGCTTGCGGTTTCTAGTGGCTGTGTGTTTAATTGTCAGCTTTTACAGACGCACTTCGTTTTTTGTGAAACATGTTCATGGAACAGACAAACATGCAAAGCTTTAAAGGAGGGCTGTTCATTTTCCAACATGCTGGCATGCATGTAGATTTACCCCCAACGGAGCTCAATGCCCTAAATGCATGACCACGCATGAAACCATGACATGAAACCATGCGTGTCATGAAACTATATCTCGTGAGCACTATATATATATATATATGTGCAGCTGTTTGGGGGCCGCGTTGCGGGATTCAGGTAAAGATGTCACATCAAATCTACGATCTCCCATCATTCGTAGATCACTGATCTCCCATCATTTGTTGATCACTGAAGGATTCTCGCACCCTTTTGGATATATATTTTTCACCCAGGATGAACATTCCTCTCCTCATCTAGCCGGATGGGAATGGTTGAGTGGCTGCCATCCAGCAGGCGCGAGTATGGGCAATGCCTTCAACGCATCATTGCGCTTAAAATGAGGCATGTGTGAAGTCATGTTATGTCTGTTATGTTTGGCTCGATCAGATATAGAGGGAACGATGGCGCCAAAACAAAAGGCCATGCCAAGGCCGCCAACGGGCAGCAAATGGGAGGAGATGGGCATCAACAGGCCACCTCCACCTGTTCAACCTCCTTAATAGACCCTGGACCTGTTCTAGTCGGGGTTCGTTTTCTACTTTGTGTTTTTAAAGAAATTTCCCTTGAATGGGGGTCTGGGAAGTGAATGGGGGTCTGAGATATGCATGGCGCGCTGAGACCTGATGTTGAGTGCTTATCTCTGGCAAAAAAGATGACTATTATTAGTGGGAAGTAGTAGAAATTCAATGTTTACTTTTATTGTATTCTTTTTCAAATTCAAAAGTGCAGGACTGCTCGCGCAACAACAGGACAAACCAAAGGCAAAGCCAAAGGCCAACTCTTTGAAAAGGCCTGCTGCAAGTGGAGAGACCGTTCAGCCAAAGAAGAAACCAGCAGCTCAGGGCTGGGCAGCAGGGTTGCAGGAGGATCAGGAGGAGGAAGCGCCAGAAGTTGAAGAGGATGACCAAGAGAATGTGGAGGAGGAGGAGCAGGACAATGCAGACTTCTTTGAGCGCGATGAGGCCAAGAAGGACAGGTTGAAGGACAACAAGTTCAAGCCCTTGTTGTCTGAGGGCTCTCTGCCAGGCTATGTTGCGCAGGCTTGGAAGAAGACCTTGAGCATGAAGAAGGGGCACACAGAAGAACAGCGCAAGATAGTGAACCAAGTCCTGGACAGGACAAAGGATGGAAAGCTCATGGTCAACCTGGAGAAACCCTTGTTTGCCCAAATGCGCGAGCAGTTCTGCCAAAGCAAGTCGAGTACCAAGGAGAAAGCACTCCCAAAGTT